TCATGTATATGTATGTATTAGTCTGTCCATGTATGTATATAGGCATCAATTACTGCTTACCATCAAGTAGACCGTCAGTTTCTTTGACATTACAATTACATAAAAAAGGTAACTACTTCATAAAATGGGAGACTTTTTAGGATTAAGTTATATATCCAAAATGGGATGATAGACATAGTGTATTTGTTGTTCTGAGGAAACATACTCGTAGTTAATAATATACATATATGGTATAAATATTACACTTCACGATACGATACGACAAAATGCTTAATTAGTGTCAATAAAGTCACTATAGTGACATTACTGTTTTTGGCCCCGATTAATTTATATTAATGCTACTAGTATATTGCGATTTATTTGTCATTAAGTACCGGCTTGTTCTGAATAATTTCATACTAAAAAATACGTATATTTATATAATAATTTCAGTTGGAATAATGTGTTAGTGATATAGTTATTTACTACTACCTATATTAAAAATATCAGGATTATATTATAACACTTTCAGTTCCGGAGATTATACTCCACGAACACACAAACTAGCATTCTTTTTTTAAAGTAAGTATAGCAGGTGAACATAAATTTATTTTTAATGTAATGTACTTACTTCTTAAATTCTTCACTTTCGACGTCAACCGATAACAGAATAAGTAAAAATACAAAATTAACTTCCAACAAGCGTGACACAAAACACTAATAATAAAAATGTTTACGAGTTGACAAGTAAGCGAAAATTACTTTACGAATATTAACGAGTTGGTTATCAATACATTATTAATTTAACGCAATCTATCATTCTATAATTTTTAATTGATTTAATCAATGAGTATTTATTAAATCAATTAAAAATTATAGAATGGAGATAGAATTATAGGATGGAGATTTATAGAGGTTACGGAAACGCTTGAAAATTATCTAGTACTTTGCCTTTTTTATACAAAGAAAATCTCAAAGGATAATACTATAAACTACTTTGAGTAAAAGAAGTCAACGTCGATTTCAACTACAGCTCTATTTCAATTTTGTTACAAATGAATAACTTTTTACATTGAAACATGTTAAATATAGCTAAAATAAAATTAAAACGAGGTAGTACTTGTTTATTAGTGAAGAGAACATTGTTTTATTGTCACACTATACCCCTCTTGACGCGATACCCGCATCTCAAACAAGTGAGATCACCAAAGAATCAAACTAGACCCACCACAGCCTCAATGAGGAGGTCCTAAGGAAAATAGTAAATTTATGTGCTTAATTAGAATAGACGAAGTGCAAATATGATGAACATTTTTCCGAAATGACAACGCTGATGTTATAAATAAGAATAGCAGGGAAGAGATATTTATAAAATTAACCACTGTTTGTAGACAATATCATTTATTTTATAATCTATAGGTCTATCACTATTATTATAAGGAAAAAATTTTTTATGGATAAACACAAAAACTACTTCATGATTTTTTAAATTCCTTAACCTTTACCTCGATCATGAACGTTAGCCGTAGCGCTCAGGATCTATCTAGCCCTATGTATTAAAAAATATTCCCTACAAAAGAGCTATTAACTTTCCAAGCGAAATCACATTTTTTTTAACGTAATGATCAAAGTATATATAATTTATCTATAAAGAAATACGCTGAAGAATCTACGGATCATACATAAAATAATGTCATAACTATTTATGGATAGGTACTGATCATTACCCACAAAAATGTCAGTGAGGATTAGTCTATTACAAGTGTAAACGTTTGTTGTTCAAATCAATCAATAAAATACGGTTAGAATAAAGAATAAAAATAAATAAACAACAAACCATAAATGACTAAATAATAATAAGGTTGATAATGTATTTTCACAGAAAGACGCAAAAGTAATGCGGTAATGTATATACGAACTGAACCAGGTCTAGAAAAAAAATACAAACAATGTAAAGTCATTCGCATTTTCGTTCGCATATATACATGCATAAATCATTAGTAGTATATATATATTTACAAATATTAACTCAGAAAAAGGGAAAACTTATAAATCAGATGTCACTGATTTCGTTTTATTCTGTTAATACTGATGATTGTTTGTAATAAGATATACACATAATTATTGGTTAAGTAATGGTTTCAATATAAATCATAATAAACAGCAGACGTTGCAGCATAGATAATATTTTATTAATTAGCATAAATATTTATTAATAGCTGTTACCCGCGATTTCGTCTGCTTTTTTCATATAAACGATATAAGCCTACATCTGTCCGTGTGATATATCGTTTGTACTATTTTATTAATATACGTTCAGCTGTTTAAAAGATGAAGAAGACAGACATATACCTTCCATGTTAGTAGGGATTACTATCCTAATCCACTATTATTATAATTATTAATGAATTAATAACAACTAATACAAAATCAATATTGGAACAGTAAAATAGGCCATATTTTTAATTCGCAAGAAGAACGAAATATTAATATAGTGTAAAATTAGTCTATAAATCGCTTTGCATTTACTAGATTTTATAAAATAAAAAATATTTATAAAATCTATTATCTGCTTTTATAATTGGGCAAATAAATCATTTTTTACTTACATAAAAAGTAACGTAAATTAAAAAGATTAATATAAACTAAACAGGTTTATATTTCACTTTCACTCACTTTTTCACAAATATGAGGAATACGAAATTTAAATTTGTAAACTATTAATATAGAGTTGTTTACGTCAGAGGTGGTTGATGACAGAGTGACGCACGCGCAGCTCCCGTGCAGGGGTTGAATGAGAGGCGGGGGGTGTGCAATACATCCCGCCCCATGTATCGGGGCTCCAGATTGATAAACCCATTGAATTCGTAATACATTAAAAGAAGAGATGACTGATGGCCGATTTAATTAACATGTCGTTACCTCGTAACCTTAATTTTTTTAAGTAGGTACTATATTAAAATTTGTTAGTCCGTGGGATATATGACGTTTTTAAAACGTTTTAAAACATGACTATAACAATAATATACACATATATTATTTATAGAATATATGTTATCAATATATTGTAAAAAATAATATATCAGTGACTAATATCTTTTAGACAACTATTGCTTAATTACACTATCAAACGGACCAATCAACATACAAGAAAATTATTGTAGCCAAAACAATAATATATTAAAAAAGAGCGTGGACTATGACGCCGCGCCGGAATGATTTATATAAAAATTGAATAGTTATTATTCCCTACAACAGCACAAAATGTGCTATATTTAACATTGTTAACACTTTTGACAAACATTTTTTGTAATTGGGGAAATTAATATTTGGCTTTGTTAAAGTACTTATTTACAATGTCTCAGTCCAGATTTATTACTACTTATATATTATAATATACCTATATAATAAAATAAATATAATATTTTTTTTCTCCTGTTCTATAACGGGCTCCGTTATACAACCAATATACATACATAGTGTATGTGACGGAGATCACATAATTACTGTATATGTTTTCGTGTATAGGATTATCACGTCTCGTTCGCGCCGATATACTATATGTATGTATCATCATAGTCCTACATATTTTAAAAATATTCAAAATTGTTGTGGTAACTATAACAAACTCGAGGTTATAAACTGACTAAGACAGCGTCATGGTTTTTACTATTTTATATATTCTATGTATATATAAAATCACTATTAAATTTATCGCTTATACAGTACAAGCTAATGTCGTAGTCGTAGGATCATCATTAATTATAAAAAAAATATTGTTATGTTCTATGTTACGCAAAACTACTCGTTCTATACGTGTTACAAATAGTAGTAAAATCCAGTGTCATTTATGGGTGCCATCTTTAAATCTATGTCAGTGACACAAACTCGACGACGTCATTGGTCAACGAGACGCACCCCTGCAGCGAGGGTTGGCACTATTATTTTCAATTTAGACCTACTTTTGAACAGATTACCCTTTGTATTCCTGACTCTGGGGTTGATTTTCTGACGGCTGTAGTCATTTTTAATCGCAGCTCATTATGTTTTTGTTTGGTTTTTGAATACACTGATAACGATATAGCTAGATTATAGGTACATGCTGTTAAAAGTTTATGTTTTAAAATATAAATTTTAATATTTTAAAGCTTATATGTAATGACTATTGAAAATTAGTATAGTATATTATTTACACATACATATTCGCCACTGTTATGTCCTATAGGGGTAGGATTAAATATTAATTTTTGAAAAACTATTTACGGTAAGTAACTAATTAGCTTCGGTCACTTCGCTTTCTCTTTACACTTCATCTTACCGGGTCTGAGTTTTAGAAAGTAGGTAGAGAGAGTTCAAATAATGAAATAAATGACTTTAAACTAAAAAATGATTTTTTAATAAATTACGTAAACCAGGTATCTACATATTTCAAAACGTAAGCATTTATAGTTTATTGTTATATAATTATATTATTATACTTTTTTCAACAGCATGTATATATTAGATTTCACTATAATGAAGAGAGACTATTTATTGAGATGCCCATTTTGTGATCTAGCAAATTAATATATTTTTAATTGAACTTACGTTATTATATCTAACATATGTCTTAAGAGATCGTTAATATCGAAATGTCTCTAATTGGATATGTATTTTTCTATAATATATAAAAAATATTAAAATAACGATTATTTTGAATATTATTTATTATATATATTCATTTGACTTATAAGAATACATCGTTCACTCATGAAAATGCACAAGAAATGTTAGAAACTTCACATAAATAGTTCAATAACAAATTAATCTCTTAACAATATTAAGCATACAAAGAATGAATATACAAACGGAACGAAGACAACAACTTATAGTATAAATTAAACAAATAATATAACAAAACAGATATTTATAGAAGTTTAGAAAACAATGTTAAAAAAGTTTTAGAATATATGATACATCAATATATCAGTTAAATGTAATGTGTCAATATAAAATTAAATTTATTATAATAATTATATGGATATAAATATTTTATACTTTTTTATATAGTAACTTAATAAATAATTCACATATTAGTGGTACCGAAATTAAAAAAATAAGTTAATGGACTACCGTAAATAACGCCTAATTTGATAAAATATAAAAAATAATTAATTGTATTTGAAATCTGATGCATATACTAATTAATACACTCAGATGTAAGTACATATACTAAGATCAATGGTCTGTTTGGCCATGACGCTGGAGGATATATTTATAATATAGATAGACTTGATAATAAAAAGAGTTGATTAAATTACTTCAAAATTATTTAATCTAACCATTCAATTTTCTGATTTCTATTATATCGTTACACACGTTAACATATTCTCATACGATAAGTATAAGACAATAAATATTATAGCAATATGAATTCTGACTTTCGTATATTACCATATTTATTTTCTGTATACGTAGAAAACTTTATTAAAACCTATGTCTAATGATAGTAATTACTTTTGCTACCATAGGTCACAAAAAAATTTATGCTACCTTATTTACAAATTCATAAATGTTTGTATAAATTAATTTACATATAAATATATTTTATGAAATAGATATATGTTCTCATTTGTATTTATTCCTACATTTAAATCCACAATTATAATATATCAAACAATACTATGCCTATAATTTATAGATTGTATACGCTGTGTAAATTACCTAATTTTCAGATGTTTATTTTAAGGTTTATTCATACTACTTACTACCTGGCTTCCATTATGTGTGGGAGTTGCAGAAAATAGGGATTATAAAAAGTATATATTATGTCTATAATAATCCAGGACAATTCACACAGCGCCATATATTAGCAAATTAAGCAGAGCTTGTGCTATGGGTGCTTGTACTAAATAACTAATATAAATATTTATATACATTTTTGTATAGACAATAACAAAATTAATACAATCAATTTGATAAGTAAAGCAGTGTACTAAACCGTTAGACCACCGGGGCCTCAGGAAAACAAGAATCCAGGCATGCGTATACTTAACCTAATATTATGAGCATCAAATTGCTATGTATTTTCGACTTATTTCTTTTGAAATACATTTATCAATATTTCATCTAACGAAAGAATTCTTCTTTGGTATGAATATTTTGGTTTCGTGGTACATCTCAATATCTGTACAATAATAAAAATAAATATGTATGCTATCAAGACTATTAACCCAGATGGGGTAGTCAGAAGCATTGACGCACATAATGTAACTTACTGCCTTACTGTCGTCACTCAGTTTAGTTTAGTCGTTTGTTGTCAGTGTTTCCATCACAGGAGAGTCAGTCAGAAATATAAGTTGAGACACTGAGATTTTAGGTGTCAATTAGTTTCGAACTCACGACGTATTTCTATGTCGGAATAGCAGCCACAGAGCTTCGTAGCTCTGTGGCTTTCAATCTATCCAAAAGTTTCTAAATTATAAACTAAATGCATTATATTCTAATCTTTTGGCAAAGCGCTGTCACTCTTCCCCCTGGAGTACACTCTGTAGGCAGTTTTGGAGCCAAGCATTCTGTCGAGGAGACTGTGCTTGGCCCTCCGTCTGAGCGCCAGAACTTCGCGGCACAAGTCATGAAACACGTCGCCTACTTGATTTACTTGTTCTGCCGCCGCCACTTCTGCAAAACTGCACTCGAAGTCTTTGGCCAGTATCTCGCCTTCCTCTGGACTCACCTATAAAATGAAGTAATAGTAAAAATATTACCTAATTATTAATAATAGTATAAAATAGTACCTAGTAATATATCAACATAATTTAAAACTTTTTTATTTAGGAATTTTTTATTTACTTTTATGTAAATATGAAACCAATACTGTTATTTAAAGTTTCATATATTATATTACATTTATGAAATATAATATATATGAAATATATATTATATTATATATATTACCTTTGTGTGCGTTACTATTATAACGCACACAAAGGAAATAATTTGCTTGACTCTCGCCCTTATCGTTAATATTATACCTGCCGCAGATGCACCATATCAGCCTTGTTTCCGACTAGAGTGAGAGGAATATCTGGCTGTAGGCTCTGCTTAGCTCGGCGAACATAGTTGAATGACTCTCTGTCTGTTATGGAGTATACCAAGAATAATCCGTCAGCCCATTGCGCTACCTCGTTCCCGGGAAGCTCGTCTATACTCTGAAAGAATCCATAAAAAAATATTTTCCTAAATGATATCCTACATAACGTATAAAATTATCAGATTCAGATTTATTAAGATTATCAGATCATCATCATCATCATCATCTGCTTCTTCCTTATCCCATCCATTTTTTCCCATTTTTTGGTTGGCGTAATATGTTTTTTCCCATACAAGATCATATTGTAATAAAATAAAGAAATCTATTTTAAAGTTATTGTGTAATATTTGTAATGCATTTTAATTAATTTACTAGTAACGTTATAAAGAGGATACATTTTATTTTTAATGTGTATGTTAACTTTGTTAATTTGTAAAGTCTGTTAAGTTTAGTACACTTATTTTTATTCTCCTTATACTATGCAAATAAAATAGTGATAATTTTCCAATAATTATAAACTATATTGTGTTTATAAGATGTTAATAACAATAATCCAGGACAATTCACACAATGTCATCTAGTCCCAAGCTAAGTAGAGCCTGTACTATGGGCACTAAAACACTGATATATGTATGTAATTGTTTTTGTAAATATGTAGGTACATATTATACATACATATTTATAGATAACACCAACAAACAATAAAAAAATGTCGTGTTAACCGCTAGACCACCGTAGTCGTTCAACCGTGTTTTATGGTACAACAACGTAGTCAGCGTTTTATAGGTTTAATGTGAAATTAATAATGTTCCAATTTAAAGTGTCCAACTACGATATTGACATTGTGACATTGCGCCCTCGTTCTTTGGCACGTGTAAGTTCAGCTCTTCAGCACTTTTCTATAGGGCTGTGCACTGCATATGAACGGAAGAAACCGGATTTGTCGTAACTTGAGTAACCCAACTTTACACCAGAACTAAAAACTATTTCAAAATTCCTAATTCATATATCGATCGAGATAGAAAGTTGAAAAAATTTGATTGGTAAATAAATATCTACCAAATTTAAACAAATTTTTGAGTTAGATATTTAGGGAATAAAAATATTTTTGTAAAGTTGGGGTTTTTAAGTTACGAATATTTGGTATTCTTTCGTCTAGATAATAACGTGATGTCAAAGTACTATTCATGGGCGACTCTACACGATTCTATATTGGGTCAGCAAAAATTAATGATTTTACAATTAATAAACTTTTCTTAATTTGTTATTCCGTACCTTAGGACATGTATCTAATATTTCGAATAATATAGGCTCGCCGTCGAGGAGTGCTTCATGTTTGTACTTGCTGTCTGTAAAATAAACAAGATGACTTCAATAATATTGTAAATTTTGACATTTTCTAGAATTTCTCCAGTTTTTATTATTGAATTAATTTACAAGTTTATTTAATGATCTTGTCTAGATCATACATTTTGCAAACGTATTTATATTAAGAATCTTATGAGATAAATCCTAGTTCTACTGATTCGTAGTTAATTTCGAAATAGCTGGGATTCCAATCAATTGACAATGACGATTGGCAATCCAGCAAATCTGAATTTGCTGCATCCTTGCCTTTGCATCAGTAATTATTATCATATTGATATAAAGTAAACAAATTTATTATCAAATATATAATTGTTTATTGTAATATATATTGTTTATTTTAGTATTTAATCGATTCTAGTATATATAGTTTCAGTAGATATATATCTACCTATTTATTAAAAAAAGATCCCATATCTGAGAATTTAGTAACTACATGAACTGGGCATACCAACCTTGCTGATGATCATATTCACCAATGTACCGTTTAGTAAGGAACCGCACTGTCAACGCTGAAATATAAAGAAAAAGCCAATTGAACATTTACTATAATTGCTCGACTTTTGACTATGCTAAAAATATATCTATAAATTTAAATTTTAAAAGTATTATTATATGCAAAATGTTCTGGCATAAAATATAATATAATAACCTAAAGTATAAAACATCGTCGAAACAAAAATAATATTCTGAATAGGAAGGTATTGTAATGACATTTTTTAAAGTCTGTTTAATTTAATACATTTTCTTATGAATTATTGTAGATATACATCCGTCCGTAGATATACATGAATTATATATCTACGGACAGTTTAGATCAATATAAGTCCATACAAATTATGTCTTACTTTATGTGAATATTTGGGTATGTAATGTAGTCTCATTAATAAATGTTGTTTTAATGAAATAGTTGACGACTTTACTACTATTCCTTTTTCTTTATATTCCATACAATATCTACATATATACATAATTGTATAATACTACTACATAAGTAAAATCTTTAAAATATTACTGTGAATCCAACATTTTGTTTGACTTTATGAATATAAATAAAAAAGAGGTAGAATAATACTATCAGATAAATTAGTCTGTTTGAAATCTAGACGACTTATCGAACACACGTTCATTTTATATTTTACGCTTACAACGAATTACGGCTATATTTTTACGACGATGCCTTGCTATGCTCAATAAAAGCCGATTTGTTTATTTTTGTATGGCTGAAGAGATAAAAATCTAACGACTCGGCTAGTTTAGTAGTTCGAGTGGGCGTTTAATTCAGGGTAGGAATACATTTGTTCACCACCAATACAGGTTTATTCATGACGAATAGAAACTGTTACTACATATATTCTTTATTGGCAAACAAACGGACAGCCCACTTGTATGTATGTGAATACCGCTCGAACATAGACATGAACAGCATCACAGATATTACTGCGCACAGGCAGAAATAAGACAAAACAATAGATTCTGAGAAAATCAGTTATTTATAAATGATTATTCGATGAATCAATTTGCCTAAAACCACAATCAATAGGTACGGTAGTTTATCTACCAAGAATGCTGAAATCAGGAATGCCAACCGTACGAGGGTCATCGTACAAATATGAGATTTTTAACCTTCGGTACGAGAATATTTTAACATCGTACAAGTTTGTACAAGATTTTGACCTACGGAAATCAGTCAAAATAAGAATTCGTACGATGTAGAAGAACCAAATTAAAATAGTATGAGACATTTTATCACATTTTAATATATTTATATGAAGCTGAATATTTTAATTTTTTTTACGTATGGAAAATTCCACATTTAGATCCTCAGGGGTTGGACGGACGGGTACTGTAAGACTTCTACTCACTAAAACTACCACGGATATCCTTCTCACCTCTAGAAACCGATCACAATCCCGGCGGCAGTTGCCAGTGTCAATAGTATGTATATTATAAGAGAATAATAAGTATACAATGAAGCTAATTTGTTTAAGAGTATGTAAATTGTAAACTACAATAGCCAGCCGTATTCTAAATTAGACCGTATGAGCACTGCCAAAATAAAAACAAAGAACAGAGCTAGACAGTTATATTGTATACATCTAGAATATAGGATATATACTACGCATATACTCTAAGGATAAGAAACCTAAAAATGAGAATCAGTTCCCAAAAGTGTAAATTGTAAAAACCTATTTGCACTTCGGATTTTTTCACAACTAAGGAAATGTTTACATAGATCTATAAATACGTTTACTGAAAAAAATAACAGCTGTGGAAAATACGAACGATAATATTAAACTCACCTCAATGCATATTATTACTGCTTCTAAGGCAAGGGTATTAGGCAATGCACAGTTTTATTTATTTCATTCGACCGATATATACTTACTGAATACAATATACTTGCTAACTACAACTGACATGTGACAAATAACGTGTAATAGTGCGCGAAATAAAAATAACACGTTCCGAATGTGTGGGATGGTACTCATATCACAGTTATGAGTAGAACGCAATATACAACGTCTTTGACGTATAGAAGCGCCATTTGTCACTGCAACTCGGCCTTATCTTGTTTACATAATTTGTATTTCGTAACAACACATAAAATATAATTTCTATATATATTTTATGTAATTTGAATGGCAAACAACCCGATGGTTCATTTGACGGTAAGGAGAACATCGCCTGTATACAACACTGCGAATAACACCTTAACATGTGACAGCCTTGATATTACTTGTCTTGCCATTTCAAACGACTAAGATGTCTTATCCTGTAATCTTACAGTACAATAGTACAATCTACCTCCAATCCATAAATAATATACAATCATTATATCCCTGTACAATTCACCCGATGTCATCTGGTCATGCTAAGCAAAGCTTATGTTGTATAGCTTATATATATAGCCGAGGCAACTGATACATATATATATTTGTTTTGTAAATAAATACTTAGAATACACCCAGAACGATACAAACAATCATACTCATAAATACAAATGTCTGTACCGTGCGAGGAATCGAACCGGCGACCATTGGAATTAAATCGGTGCACTAAACCGCTAGACCACCGTGGCTGTCATAAATATTTGTTTAATAATATTTTGTCTGTGGTAATAATTGAGTAACTTTCATATTTTATACTCGTTATTTCTGATCCTGATAGTAAATATATAAAAATAATATCAGTTGGGCCGTATGCTTGTTTGCCACTATAGTAGTATAAAAAAAGTTAAAATACTCCTCAATTCTACTGAAATCAAACTTACTGAAAACAAACACTAAAACGAGTCGCCTGGCACCTGTGTTTTGTAAAACATATATTGTAATAATATAAATATAAAAAATCTTTAAGTAAACTTTTACAAAAATTGTACGGTAATGCAATAAATTTACATCAAAACCAAATCTCTCATTTCAGAACTGATATTTGCATGTTTGTCACATCACAAAATCCTTATTTGATTTACTATTGAAAAAACTATTATATAATTGAGAGAGACTACGACTATGCATTGACTTGTCCATGGTGTAAGTTCCGGACTAATTGGACCCCAAATAAATGGGATAAGGAAGAAGCAGATGATGACGAATAAGCAACTAGAAAGAATTTATAGAATATTCTCATGAATGAAAGAATCAAACTTAATCTGTATGAACAAAAGCAAAATGAAAACTCGTATTAACAACGTTAATCGGATTGACGTCTAATTTGTATAAGAATTTCATTTTTATTTGAACTAAGACCAAAAATATAATAATATCCTCTCATTTGTACTAGTAAAGTTGATTTATTTTAAGCATTGTTAATGTTTATTTACTCTGATCAATATTTGACATGTTAAATTAATAAAATGTGTGTATTGAATGTGGTTGATTAATAAAGATACGCGTAAGCAGCGCTAGTATGAAACGCAACGATTTCTTATTTTCTTTACTAGCTCATCAGCGCAATTTGAGCTGCGTTCATCATTGACGTTCCGCTCCTCTTAGTCATAGCGTGATGTTATAGACTATAGCACTCATCGTTAAATAAGCCATCCAATACCAAAACAACTACGCGCTAACTATTTACTATTGTTTCGTATAGACATACTATCCGAACTTGTTGTTCTAATGGTTAACGCGTTCAATCAAACAAACAAACTCTCACATATTAGGTTAGATTAAATTGTACTAGTCATGTAGTCCAACAAGAGCGACAGCGTGATCAATAAACACTTTCGACTAAAACTAAATAATGAAACTTCGCGACCGGTACTAAAACATATAATATACTCTGAATTTTTTAATCCTTTTTAATTAAAAATCAATAGTGTCAATGTCAAAAATGAATAACAAATATTTTGCCAATATTTTAAATATCTATCTGAGAACAATAGATGTCTTTCTTTAAGTTTGTTAATGTATTGTATAAATAAAATTAATGTCTTTATAATAGTTGAACACGTTAGAATGTATGGTCAGTTACATCTGTGCCAAATGTTAATCACTTTAAGTATTAGTTCCGGAATCTTAAATAACATTTCAACTATTTCACAGTTTGAGACAGCGATCACATCTATTTTATCTATACTAATATCCGAGTCTTTTCAGATGTATATATTAGGAGGGATTGGATCATTGAATGAATAACAAAAGTGCATTAAAATGTACATTTATATTTTGTTTCCGAAAAATAGGATCTGACAATAAATATCAATTAGAATAATATTTCATTGAATTTAATTACCCAAGTTATATAATATGCATTACAGACTAAAAGCTCTAAAATTAAATTCGATATTGAAACTGTTCACAGTTTCAATATCGAGTTAAATACTAATAATACCTTGGCAATTCAATTTATTTCATAAATTTCAAAGGGCACGGTTATCGAGAGCGCACATTCTCAATATTGTAGGACCGTTTTGTAAACATCCATGCAGAATACTCCGGCAATTCTAAATTGAGACCAGTTTAATCAGAAAATGCCATTATGGGCTTCATTAATATACCCAAAGCATTGCCCTCAAGTGTGAATAAATCCGTCTAATCGATTTCTTGGCTTCCACGAATCAGTATTGTTTTGTAAATACACGTAGGTTGTTAATTTTGATATCGCATTTCGAGACAGGTTTACGTCCGTAGAAATTGTATAGGTTGATGACATAGGATTGTTTATACGTGAAAGTTCTATGTTGAACTACGTGACACTGATCATAAATATTTTTGACATTCTAACTTAAATGTCTCGTACATACAGATACATAGTTTTTCACGTCTAAGAATCCATCGTGCGATGCTTTCAAATTTAATGTGATACGGTGATACGTAGGCTGTTCCACACTGATATACTTTTAACAAGGAATTTGTGTCAGACAAATAAACAGAGCTCGATATTATTGATACAAACGTATCTTTAGTTTGACGAGGTCGTGCTACGTAATCGAACCATTCACACTGGCAAATATCCATTCATAACCTTCTACAAATATATTTATTATCATTCTATTGTTTGTATGTTA